TCAGAGTGGCTAAAATTAACATCTCAAGAAACAACAGATGTTGGCGAGGATGTGGAGAAAACGGGAACCTTTCTGCACTGTTATTGGGAATGCAAGCTGGTGCATCTGCTCTGCAAAACAGTGTGGAGGTTCTTCAAAAAAATGAGAACTAGAACTACCCTTTGACTCCGTAATATTAGTACCAGGAATTGGTCCAAAGGATACAGGAATGCTGATTCAAAGGGGCACAAGTTCCCCCACTGTTTATAGCAGCACTTTCAACAATAGCCGAATTGTGGGAAGAGCCTAAATGTCCACAGCTGATGAATGGATAAGGATAGTGGTTTATATATACAATGGAATACTACTTGGCAATGAGAAAGAATGAAATCAATGCATTTGCAACACTTTCGATAGAACCAGAGGGTATTATGCTAAGTGAAATAAGTCAGTCAAAGAGGAGATATCATATGTTCTCACTCATATGTGGAACTTGAGAAACTTACCAGAAGACCATGGGGGAAGCGAAGGAGAAAAAATAGTTTCAAACAGAGACGGAGGCAAACCTGTAAGAGACTCTTAAACACAGAGAACAAACTGAAGGTTAATGGGAGATAGGGAGGGAGGGGGGAATGGGTGATGGGCATCGAGGAGGGCATTTCTTGGAACGAGCACTGGGTGTTTTAAATAAGCAATGAATCATGGGAATCTACCCCCAAAACCAAGAGCACACTGTATACACTATATGTTAGTAACTATGACAATAAATTATATTTAAAAAATAAATAAATAAAGACACAATTGGCTACAAGTGAAGGAATGGAAAAAGATTTTCTTGCAAATGGCAATGAAAGAAAGATAGAGTGGCTATACTTCTATCAAAAAAATTTGACTTTCTGTCAAAACTATTTCTACTGGCAAAGAAGATCATTATATAATGATAAAGAATCCATTCAGCACAAAGATGGTAACAATTTTCAACATATGTGGAACCAACCTTGGAATTCCTAAATATATAAAGCAAATATTGACAGATCTGAAGCAGAGAAACTGACAGCAATACAATAGTGTTCAGAGACTTCAGTACTTCACTTTGAATCATAAATAGAATATATACACAGAAATCCAAGAAAGAAGCTATAGATTTGAACAATAATGTAAACATTTTATAGACCTAATAGATATACATGGAATTTTCCACCCAGCAGTGGAAGAGTGCATTCTACTGTGTGTGAAATATTCTATGCAGTATCTTTTTCAATCACAATGGGATAAGTCTAGAAAACAGTAACAGCAAAAGAATGGGAAAATTCACAAATATGTGGAAAGAAAACACACTTTCAAGTAACTATTGGGTCAAAGAGGAAAATGCAAGACAATTTTTAAAAATATCTTGAGACAAATGAAAACAAAAACAATGTAACAAATTTCAGAGATCCTGCAAGAGTAGTACAAAGAGGGAGGATTTTAGTGATAAATGCCTACATTAAAATAGAAAACTAAGGTACCTGTGTGGCTCAGCCAGTTAGTGTCCACCTCTTGATTTTGGCTCAGGTCATGATCTCACAGTTGAGTTCGTGAGATTGCGCCTCACAGTTAGGGCTGCCAGTCCAGAACCTGCTTGGGATTCTCTCTCCTTTCTCTGCCTCTCCCCCGCTTGTGTGTATATATGTGTGTGTGTGTGTGTGTGTGTGTGTGTGTGTGTGCGCAAGTGCTCTCTGTGTCTCTGTCTCAAAATAAATAAACGTAAAAAATTTATCTTAAAGTAGTAGATTGTATATTAATAATCTAACTTTATACCTTGAGGAACTAGCAAAAGAATAAACTACGCCCAAAGTTAGAAAGAAGGAAATAATAAAGACTAGAGCAGAAGTAAATCAAATAGAGAATAAGAAAACACCCTATTCCATCTCACTGACACTATTCTGTTTTTTCAAATTTATATGTATGTTGGGTTTTGTTTGCTTTTCATTTTCTGATGATCGATATTCATTCTTTATTCTTTTCTATTGTATGCATATAATAGTAAAATTTCCCTCTAAGACTACTTTATTATCATCTCACAAAATTTTATTTAAAATGTTTTTCTTATCATTCAATCCAAAAGATTTAATGTCTTTTTAAAAAAAGATTATATACTTTTGTCCTTATCCTGAGTATTTAGTATTCCAAGTACCCCATTTCCAGTGTACTAGGAAAAGTGTACAAGTGAAGGGATAAAATTACCAATGACCAATTATGAAAAAATATGTAGCTCATATTTTCTCTTGATTTCTTCATCTGTGGGTTATTTAATAAATAAAGCTGTACTTTGTGAAGACCTTGTAAATGACAGAAGTCTTCTTTTATTGTTTCAAGTCAAGCTACACATAATTTGAGGAATCATCATTTTGGTCTTAGAACACAAATGAATGTGTTGATCTGTGTCATACTCATTGAACTCCATGTATCCATATGGTTTTAAGCACCCAAATATGGTGACAAACATTTCAGATTCTCACAGTGGTGGTAGCTATGGTGGCAGATTCTCTGAGATTGTCACCTGAACTGAGATACCCCAATTAGTTAACTGAGTGCTGTGGTTTTTTTTTAATGTTTTTTTTTCTAGGAGAGAGAGAGAGAGAGACAGCGTATGTGTGTGTGTGTGGGGGGGGGTAGTCAGAGAGAGATGGAGACACGGAATCCGAAGCAGGCTCCAGGCTCTGAGCTGACCGTCAGCACAGAGCCCGACGCAGGGCTCGAACCCACGAACCGTGAGATCATGACCTGAGCCGAAGCTGGAGGCTCAACTGACTGAGCCACCCAGGCACCCCTGGGGTTATTTTTTAAAAGTGCCTGGAAAGGACCCATTGCCAGTGCAACTCTGAAATGCTGTAGGACTCCAGATCCATTAGACCAACAAATTCCTAAATATTTCCTAGAAGGGATTCTGAGTATCCTAAACCTTGCTCCATTCCAAACAAAATTTAATGAACTATTTTGATTTAGTTTCTTTGTAGCTTATTTTTCCATCCCAAGAATTTGGATGATTCAGATTTTTCCAGATTTTCATTTATAAATGACTCCTTATTTTTGATAGTGTTATTTGCATCTTTATAAAAATGTTTATTTATATGCTTATGTTTTCCTTATACTTTTTGTCTTTCAGAAGCATGTTCAAAATCAGAGATAACAATTGAAAATGGATTTTTTTCTGAATATGAACATACATATTCCTTAAACACGGAAACACAGTATCAGTGTAAATCAGGATATGTAACACCAGATGGTAAACCTTCAGGAACAATTACATGTCTGAAAAGTGGATGGTCACCTCAACCCACATGTATTAGTGAGTAATTAATTATGTCCATAATCATTATCCTGATGACTGTTGAACAAAAGTTTACTCTAAGTTAATTCTTTCTGGGGGGAGGGGCTGATGTGCTTCCCATTTGAACGGATAAATGAAAAGATGTAATTTTTTGCCTCTTAAGAGCAATCACTTATAGAGTTAATACCAGCACATCTTTCAGTGTACATATTTTCCACTTTAAAACATCCTGTGATTTAGAAACTGGTTAGGGAGCCTGATGTGTAGTCTCCTGGAAACTCATTTATTTGTGGCTGACACCTTTATGCCTTTATGCCTATTGTTCCTGGTTTTAGGTGATCAGACTTTGAAGTCAGAATCTTTGTTGCTAGACATACAAGTTATATTTGTAAGTGAAGATCTGAGTCCATAGTGGAGAATTTTAATTTAACCTGTAGAATTTGTGTTTGATAATCTAGGGTAAGTGCACTTTTAAAACATCCCCCTTAGAAAATCTTCCTAAACATCTAGTCAGTAGAGACAGAAATGTGTCTAGATAGCACCAAATACAGCGGTGTGGAAAGATTTCCCTGTCCCTAGATGTTTATGAAGATTTTCTATGAACGATTTCCTCAGTTTATCTTATACTCCAAAGCTATGCAGTGATATTTTTGAACTGATGAGCATATTCACTTTAAATGAAGTAGATATTTTAATACCCATTTCTACTGTTTCCATTTCCTTTTTTCTTCAATTTCCTTGGTTACTATGAGCACTAGCCAGAGAAAAAATGATAAAAGTCGATCCCATATCAAACTCATTTTATATTAAATTGTAATTAGCTATCCATTATAACTCATATTATGGAAGAGAATCTCTCTCTTTCTGACTCTTCTTACTTGTATAGTTTTGCTTTGTTTTTTAAAGCTTTAAGGTAGCTGGCTACATAACACAGTATAAAATTTGTCATGAATTATTTAAATCTTTATTACCATACTGTTAGCAATAATTGAAACTTTTAACATTGTACTTTCTTATAACTAGTTATAAAAACTAGAGTTATCTCTCCATTAAATCTTGGTAAGTTTAAACGATTATACACCCATTAGGAAAATATTTGGGAAAGAAAGTGAGCATATGACCTTAAGAAATTATTATGTTTTAAAGTAGAATTATTATCTAATATTGAAAAATTAACTTCCATTTTTGAAAACCAATCCTATTCAACTAAGCCATTTTTCTCTAGTAGATCTGCCACTCTGCTGATGACTTTGGTGTCTTAATTCATAAAATTGTATTCTGCTTTGCTAGAAAAAGTATGATACATCTGTAATATCCTATTTTATTACAAGCATGGCATAAACACAGAATTATAATTGATAGAGGAAAGTGTTCTTAGTCACACTTTCTGAGTATTTAAACGATAAGAAAAATGCTATGTAGAAACGTATTTTTTCATTTTGAGTAACTTTCAGGACAATGATTTATCACTGGAATTCTTAGATTATTTTAATATGATACTGAATTTACTAGCACATACTAATTGATGAAGCTTATTTTACTTCCTTGGGATGAGACTTAATTACATCATCCATTAAGTAATATTAGAAATGAAATCTTCAATTCTGTTATGCATTAGAATCTTGTGACAAGCCAGTATTTGAGAATTCCAAAGCCAAGAGCAATGGCACGTGGTTTAAACTCAATGACAAGCTGGACTATGAATGCCACGATGGATACGAAAGCCAACACGGGCGCACAGGTTCAATAGTGTGTGGTAACGATGGTTGGTCTCATAAACCTATATGTTATGGTAAGTACCATTTTTCCAGGTATTTTTTTTCAGGATTAACAAACTAACAAAATATGTTTAAGATATTCCATTTTAGGGGCCCCCAGATGGCTCAGTCAATTAAGGATTGGACTTTGGCTCAGGTCATGATTTTACAGCTCTAGTTTCAAGCCCTGCATGGAGCTCTATACTAACAGCTCAGAGCCTGGAGCCTGCTTCAGATTCTGTGTCTCCCTCTCTTTCTGCCCCTCCTGCTCGCTCGCTCTCTCTCTTTTCCTCTCAAAAACAAATAAACATTAAAAATTAAAAAAAAAAATAGATTTCCATTTTGAAAAAATTTGCATTATTTAAAGTCATTTTTAAGGAGTAATGATTAAAATCAAGGTGTCTTCTTCTGACTGAATGTAAACTAGGAGAAGAGGGTGTTTGAAAGCCCAAAGACAATAATCTCTCTTTTAGCACAGTACACTGATGTTTCCTATGGGCCATATACATGATAGATTTGTAAACAAAGTATAATTGTGTTTGTTATTTTAAATGCAGGCTTTCATAGTATTTAAAACTAGGTTCTTTTAGCGTGTGTCATAAGAAAACCAAAATTATAGTTTCTTACAATTTCCTCAGCTATTTCATTCCTGCGTTTCTGCTTTTATACCTTCTGCCTTGAGTGTTAGTTTCTGCAGGCCCTGAGTGAAGCTCTTTATTTTCTGACTTGGACAAGTTCTGTGGACTTTTCCATGAATCTCTTTCATGTTTGCTAATCCACTGCTTTCCAGGATTAGGAGTAGGACTTGAATCTGTGGAAAACTTGAGTGGCTATAGAGTGTTCCATGTAAAGGGAACACTATGTGCAAAACTTTGATAACAGAACAATATTTGAGAAAAATCAGGGTAAGCAGATACTACTGGCGAGTGTTCACGCCAGGGGAACAATATGTGCAAAATTTTGATAACAGAACAATATTTGAGAAATTTTGGAGTGAGCAGATTCTACTCAATTTGTGGGAGAGTATTATGAACTAAGCCTGGATCGGGGGCAAGGAAAAGATTACCCAGGTTATTTTCCAGGCATATCAGCATTTAGATTACTTTTATGATTGATAAATGGCCATAAAGGAGTCTTAAGGAATGAAATGATACAATTTTATTTAGATTTTTGAAAAGTTTTTCCCCCCACATGCTGTGATTGTGGTGGGAAAAAGAAGATTCCAGAGTTTATGCAGCATGAATAAGTATTGGGTATATATTAGGATTATGGGTGATGAGATGCAAAGCAGAACACATTCAAAAGCTGCCTCTTGGTGGAAAACACAGTGGATGTAAGAAAGTAATCATCAAGGGACTCACTGGCTTGTTTTTAATTTTACATAAGCAAGCAGGTAAATGGCAGTTTGGTAAGGTGGTGCTGACAGAAGGGAGAGCCCTTTGGGAGGAACATCCCAACTGTTGACATGAGCACATTATGGTTGAGGACATCAAAACTGGATGTGTAAACTACAGGGTTGAATATGTGGGTCTAGCCAGGAGATACATATCGGGAATTGTCACCGCAGAAATGTGGATATGAAATTGGAAAAGAATACAGAATCCAAAGAGAAGAGAGCTAAAGACCGAGCCATGAAGCATCCCAACGTTTAGGTGTCAGGTAGAAGAGGAATAGACGGTAGAGTAATTTGCAAAATAGAGGACCCAGAGAATTGGGAGAAGAAAACATTTTGGAATGAATGTTCTCCTAGATGTGGAGAGAAGTAAATGACTGAAGGATGAGGAAGTATAAGTGAGTCCAGTG